GCTTGGATTTTGGTGGCGGCTTGGGCGGTCTCGTCGTTCACGGGGATGTCGATTTCATTATGGGATGTGCCAGAAACGCCGTCTTTTGCGGCGAGCTGCACATTCACAACAGCCCGACCGTTGGCTTCAAGGACAACGTCAACCTTCACAGAGATCCGCTGCCGGAACTCATCCAACCTCTGCGTTCGGCTTTGCTCCCTGTACAGCAGAACTGGCAAAGATGAGGAGCAACGGCTTTTGGGAATGTGCATTGAGCAGTCACAAGAACTTCCTGCCTGTTAGAGCACGCCTGCGCATGTTTCTGCTGACGCATGCCCTCCACTTCGCTGGCTGCCTGCTTCTGCCTTCGGAGGTCAGCATGCCCCGTGTCGGCTTTCATCAATGCTCACCCACCGCATCACTCCCGAAGATCTCAGCAAAAGTCAAGTCTGGGAAGGCAAGCATGCTTACTCGCACGTCACGGAAGCAGATCGTGGAACTGCATCGACGCGGTGCCTGAATCTGGCCTGAATCTTTGTGGCAGAGGCTGCTTCTTGCTCCTGGAGCAAGGTGATTAGTGGTGGGACTTCCTTTGCAGGAACTGTGTGGTCAGCATGTCCTTCTGCCGGCGCTCGGCAACCCTGTGACGATATCGAGATTGAATGGCCTCTTGCTCAACTGCTGGGTTGCCGCACAGACACGGACAGTCCACAATCGACGACCCTGGACGTACACCATGTCGCTCCATCCATGTTTCGTGGGGTGTGACGTGATGATATGTCAAAGACCAGCGCAGATCCACACTCTCTGGCTCTCGCTTCTTCTCCAGGGCATGAGGGACTGGTAAGGTCTTCGGCCATCACGGCCCGTCTTATTGTCTGGGGCATTGGAGGGACGCAAAACACAGGCACTTGCTTTTTGGTAACACAGCCACCAGTGACTCTTGACCTTTTGCGGGTTTAGCACGTTTTAGCATGGGTGAGTGGGATGACGTACTTTTCAACAGCACATCCTCTTTACCCGGCATTTGCAGTACTGTTGTGATGTTGTAGTTGTAGTCCAATACCAACGGTGATGATGATGGGTTTAGGCGCTGGTACTCCACTGCCCGTCCAAGCGAATATGTGTGAGATCGTCATCCACGGTCCGTGGCCCCTTTCGGGGGTTGGAGATGAGTCTGTTCCTCCCAATGTGACTCCCTCTCTCTTCTTCGTCGTTTAAGGCTAAGCGTCCAAGCGTCCAGTCCACGGACCTCCACACTCTAGGGGGTGCCCTCTGGACTCTTGCAACTCGGACTGTGCAGGGATAGCCCCTCGCTTCATCCAGCCATCGCATCAGGAAAACAGAATTACAATCTGCACCTTGTCTGCAATTAGTGCCATATTTCCGTGTTTGGCTTGATTTCACAACCATCAAGTGCCCCAGGTCTTGAAGGCCACTGCGGCTGACGGGCACTACTAGCCACGAGACTTCGGGGTATCACTGTCATGAAAAGCCGGTGACGCAGGCTCTGATTGCGAGCCCGGGTGCTGTTGCTGCCTTAGCTTGTCATGCCAGAACTAGTCACCAAACCCAGATGGCATCGCCCTGGGAACTCACCAATAAAAAGCTCGCAGACCGCACCCGGAGGCACCTAATTGCACAGCCGAGATGATTTGTCATCTGCTACTAGTTCCGGCACAAGGTGCAACATCACAGGAATAATGGGGGAGTTTCTTTGTTGTTGCAGAGAGTCGGCGTTTGGTCTCGGGAACTGGAAGGCCGCGACTCGTCTTCTGTACACAAAAAATACCGAATGAGCTGCCTGCTTCTGTTCGCGCATCTCCTGCACCTGCTTGTTGGCTTGCCGTCCGCGATACTTGGCTTGGATCCTGAGCAGCGGGACTCAAAATAGACAGCTTCGTGTGCCGCCAATGGCCCCCGAACGACAGTATCATTCGTCTCCCATTTCGCCACACAAGGTCCTTGCAGCAGCATCACTCTCTTCCTTTTGTTGCTTCTTCAGTCTCTGAACATCGTCTGCTGCTTGCTTCCTTAGCGACTGCAGTAAAGGCACAAACCTCTCAAAAGACCCCTCAGCCTCACATCCCTTAGGAAAGGCTAGCTTTGGCACGGTACATGACAGAATTTCTGTGACGGTGAGGATGGTTTGCAGCAAGGCCTCTGCCGGAACCTTGCCTGAATCTTCGTTGCTGCCGACTCCTGTCCAGGCAAGAGCCCGCATGCTCCAGGCAGCAGAGAAACCAAGCTTCGTTTCCAGGCCACTGAACGGCTACGAGCTTTGAACCAGCCCTTGGAGGGCATGGAGGGCGCCCCTGATGCGGCAAACAACCACAGTTTTCTCTGAGCTTTCAAAAATTGTGCTCGTGCAGGTTTGCCTCCGGGAGGTTGATTTGAGGGATAAAAAGTGTCCAAAAAAGTTGGTAATGATTTCACGTATGGGCCGGAGGTTGGACTGTCGACAATATCGGCGAGCGAGCCTCTTCCTTCATTTGCTGAAGGCTTCGAAGGCTGCGAACACCGTTCACCAGAGCCTCGTCCAAAGATAGCCACCATGTGGACAGAATCAAGTGAACCCCGACGCTACTGTTATGCTGTCTGATGTTCTCCGCAACCCTGTCGCGTGCCTCAGGAGGTGGAGAGTCTGCCTGAGCACATCTGGCGCTGAGTGCCGGCTCACTTTCGTGGCTATATAGGTGCTTGCTCAGGTGGGTACATCTCGCATGGCTTCGTAATCTCGAACAGACTTGGCAACCTTCATGCGCAAGAGCAGAGGCGGGATGATGACCTGCCGTCTCAGCACAGCGACCCTTTCGAAGCAAGAGTGGGATCAGCAAGGGCAAGAGTAGCTGTGGCAGCGTCGCAGTGGTGAGGCGGTCATAAAAGGCGCCCAAAAGAAAGTACTAGGGCTGGCCAAAAACTAAGCTTTTGGCTCATATAATATGTTCTGTCTCTACACCAAACATGGCACACAAGAGAACATGGTAGGGCGTGAGCTTTGTTCGCACCCTCCTTGCGCCAGTTAAAGGATTCACTTCAACTTCTCCCCTTCTGCACGAAAAGTAAAATGCGAAGCTGCTGCATGTACGGCAGTTCTGACAGACCACAACTTTAAGAACAAAATGCCCGTGTCCGCAAGACTCAAGAACAGGTTCAGCAGCGAACTGTAAGCAACAAGCGTGGCTGACTTAAGAACCTGGTGTCACCCAGAATACTTCCGCTTACCATGGAATCCCCCATCATGTGAGATGCTTCTCTTGTTTCGCTGCACTGCGCTGTGACACTGTCTGATGCTGAAGCTTGAGCTGCACTGCGGTTTCCAAGGCTTCTCGCAGTTCACAGCCCCACACACTTTTCGTGCTCATCTTGCTCACATGACTGCCCAAGCCCTTCTCAGTCAAGTCAACAAGTCCGGCTCTCTTAAACGCTCTCTTCACTTCCTCTCCTGTCTTGAAGAGTTTGGTGAACATGTCTGGGTCTTGCCTGTAATCACTTTCCTGCTTTTCACAAGTCTTGGATAAAACGGTGCGCGATCTGCATGTGGCGCATCTTTCCGATGCCCTCTTGGCAGCTGGAAGCGCTGCAGAATCCCACGACAATCTCGGCACCTGTCATGCCGTTTCTCGCGCCTTGCAGATGAAGACCGCACTCAGAGGTGGTTGAGTGCCCTGATCCCTGCTGTTGTTTGCATTAACGGGGTGCGCTTAAACCGGGAGGAGGCACGCAGGTGCTGTTGTTCTTGAAAAAGGGAGCCGTCGAAATACTTGCAACAGCACTCATGATCCTACAACAGCTTTGGCGTAGCAGCCGCATGCGCAGAGGGCACCGAAGGCCAGTCCTCTTCGTCCTCCCCACCGTGCTTCGCATCATGTGATCTAGGCGACTGCACCAGATAGGGTGCCGAAGTGTGCCGAAGCCACATCTCAATACCACAACTGGGGGCATGGCTGTCCACTACATGCACGTCTCAGCACGGGCTTGATCTCGGCAAACCCGCGGCTGGCCATGTCGTAAGCCTCCAGGACCGGCAAAAGGCTCGGCATCTCATGGGCTCACGGCCGGGGCCCGGTGAGGAAAGAGCACCGAACTGTAGCTCAAAAATGCTCAAACCGAGATCGAGCCTTGTCATACAAGGCCGGGGTCGGGCGCGCGTCTGAGAAATGCCTTGCCATCTGAATTCGGCCGCAACATACTCAAAGCTTGTCATGACATGTCATGACATGCTGGCATCCACGTTGCCCGGGAATGCATGCTTTTCGCTGCAGGCCCACCTGACACAGCTCCGCGGCTCAATGCAAGTCAATCGAGGCCTACGCAACTAGGGCAAGCAGCTTCGACAGCAGAATGCTGTGAAAAGGCACAAAGCATAGACGCACGATGAGGGAAACATGCACTGACAAGTGGCAACTGCTGTGAATTTAAGGCGCGCTGAAGTGTAGAATCTGTGAGTGTAGCAACCATCAGCTTCGGTAGTACGTTTTTTGGGAAGGCGAGGAAGTGTCGAGAGACAGCGCCTCCAGAGAAAGGCTCACTGTCACTTTCTATGCGACAACGCGTGCAGGTGGTGGTAGATGCGACGTACACCCATGTCTCCGCGTAAAGAGAATTGCATGCCCTGGCAGCGTGGGCATCAGTTCCGAGCCGGAGCAAGAGGAGTCCAAGAAGCACATCAACACGGCACATCTGCAGCCAGATGGTTCAGATCACCGGTTTTGTGCACGTCCGCTACGGGTCTCACTGTGATGCACAGCCAACGATCGCAGACGCGGGTCCTGTTCAGCGAGCCTCGGTGGCAGTTTGCTTTCTCGGGGTCAAGGACTCTGTGATCCTGGATGCATAAAGTGCCCGCCGGAGACCTTGCTCAGGGAATCAACCCTCGATCCCGCACCGCTCTTCAGTGCTTGGTGCCTCCACTATTTTTAGTCGGTCTGCACGGAGGCGGAGCGGGCAGCTGCCTTAATTGTTCTTCACGCTGAGACGTAAAGCACCAGGACCCCAAAGCATCCGAGGGGCTTTGACACGAAGTTGGCGACTTCTCCAGACCAGCTCCACTCCATGGCACCTGCCCTTATGTGTGCATGTATGTGCATGTCTTGTAAACGTATCGCCTCATCGTCTCCGTCACCTGCTAGCAGCTAACCCCAACCTTCAATCTTGTGGAATCGGCTTGCCAACTACTGCAGCACGGCGGGCGGGCAACGGCACTGTGCCACTTCCTCGCTGGTGCAAGGTGCATAAAAGCATCATTCTCACTGCTGCGCACGGCGAAAGCTGGCAATCATTCGGCAATCATGAATCATGAGGATATTCCCATGGCCAGCGCCGCATAGTCTTGCATCAAGTCGTTCACTGACCGGCTTCGCGCAGCGTGAACATGAAAGCTACAACCAGTCAGACACCAAAGGACAAGATTGGTGAACGCTTATCTACCGTTTCAACTTTGAACGACACACGAGTAAGGCGATTGGGAATCTGATGCTTCCCACATGTTGGGCATCGTGGGTCAGAACTGACAGCAGGCATGCCGAAGCATAGCCGCATAGCCATCCTCACTCGCTGCTGAGAGAGAGAGATGCTGACTGGCTAACTGCTAACCCAAGCAGACACAACGATGAAGACTCTGTTTCTGCTGCGCTCATCTGCTTGTCGCACGCTTAGATTTTGTAGGGGGCTTGCGCTTGCTTTCCGGTGCAAGCACAGTGATGCGCCCCGCGTGCGAAGCGAATGACCTTCGGTCGCTGAGCACAGCCAGGAAATCCGAGTCGAGGCCTAGATTTGGGGAACTTCGTGGACCTGCGAAGCGCGAGCTTCGCGCCTGCCACCCCCCTTACATGGGCGCTTGCAAACTGTGCCTCAGTCCATCTCTTCCACGGTGTCCTGGACAGGGACTCTGGACTTTGCATGTTGCCCTGTCTATGCTTCCTGCCTGGCCTCTACGCGTCTGAGATCTGAGATCTGCACCTTGCTGATTCATCAATTCATGCTGGGTGTGCAGGACATTCCAAGCGCCTGAGAGCCATCCTCGAAGAAGATCTTCGCAGTGGAGCGCCTTGAACTTGTTGCCACAACTGGTTGGAGACAGTAGCGTCTGCAGCACAGGAAAGCGACACTTTGTCATGCTAAGGTATCTGCACATCACCGAGTGTCTTCAGAAAGTCCAGTAAAGCTTCATCCTGCAGGACTGGCTTCTTAAGCTCTCGAGTGCTCAACTGTCAAGAGTCCTGTCCCCAATCCGCCAAGGCCACCTCCCGCACGTTCGGAAGCTCCTGTCATTCGGCCCAGTGTGAAGTCTTGATTTGGTTGTACCACCTGCCAACACTCTCACGACCTCTCTCGCCTCATGGCTTGGCCCTGTGCCCCTGCCTCCAGCAAGGAGGGGAGAGCATGCCACGCAACCACTGGAAAACTACGGACCTCAAGCTGACATGCACGAACAGAACACGATAGAGCTTGGATTCCGCTGAACACGGCACCTCCAGGCGCCTGTATCTGTGGCAGTCCTCAGAAGCCTGGCAAGCAAAGACCATCTGTCATTGAATCTCCGCGTACAGCTTGTAGTAGCTATTGATGCCATCTCCGGCTGTTTAACTCTTTTTTTCGCGAATTCACGGTGGCAACAACATTCATCTCTCCATGATGCGGGAGCGGACTCTAGCGGCCTCTAGCAAATTGTGGTCCTCATCTGTTTCATGGTGGCAAGATTGCTCCCCACACGCAGAAGCAAGATTCGGAGGGCATCTGTAGTGCTCCTAGCTGGTCCTAGCTGCACCTTGCTGCATGTCGTTCGTGTGCGCTCCTGCTGGTTTGACGCTCAGCACCACGCATGGTTGCAGAGCTTAAGCTTGCAACGCGTGCCGTCAGCCGCAGTTCGGTCAAAATTCCGAAAAAATCGTTCAGAGAACGAAAGCACCTCCTTGCTTGCTTGCTTGCTTGCTTGCTTGCTTGGGGTCTGAACGCCCGAGGGGGCTCCGGCCCGAAGGCCAACCCCTGAGGCGCGCGTCTGTGTGTCGGCATGGCCCCTTTCGGGGTTGAGTGGTATCCTTGTTCCCCCGGTTTGCCTGATATGCCTGTATCCGACAGCAGCCCCCCAAAAACACCGCTCCTAAGACCATGACCCAATGGGAAGACCAGCAGGCACTATCCGGGTCATCTAAGTTCACTCCAACGGTCTATTTTGGGAGTGACCTCCTCTCTCTCTCTCTCTCTCTCTCTCTCTACCGGGCAAGGAGGGGTGACGGCTGTCAGCCCCCCCAGCACGCGTGCGCGCAACCGCGAGTCCTGGGAGTGACCCCCTCTCTCCCTCTGTCTCCTGCCGAGTCTGCATCGCGGAGTAGCACATGGAGCTTGGGCTTCGCGCTGTGCGAAACATGCCCGTAGCGTCGTGTGCCTGAGATGCTCGCAATGCAGCACACATCGCATATGTAGCCGCTAGCCCTGCAGATCCGGAAGCTGAGGCAGCTGGTGCAGGAGCTCTCATTTGTCTTCATGCTCTGCTGCGTCCACGCTATCACTAAGTGCAACCAGCTCGCGTTTGTATAGCCAATCGTAAAGAAGGCGAGCCGTCGGCCGTCGGCTTGTGTGCTATTTTCCGAGCCGCGGCTGCTTGCGTCTTCGTCAACCCATTCCCGCACCCTTCGCATTTAGCGGTGTTCCAGCTGCACACCTGGAACAGGCTTAGGCATCAAAGCAAAAGGGTGCCGCCACGTCGCTGAATCGAATATGAAGACCCAACCTTTGGCCGGGGCGCACGAAACGAAGCGGCGGAACACGTCCTCTGCCGCGCACACCGTCGTGTTGCTCCGACGCGGTGACTGCGGGGGCATTCGCATTCGCCAGCTGCTGTATTGCGAAGCGAGAAACTCGACCAGCAACTCTTTTAGCTGGCCCCACGCAGGCACAGCACCTTCTGTACATCATCTTGCAGAGCTCCACCTTGCCATGTTTCAGGCTTTCCTGGAATGCCTGCTGGACATGCGACTCTCCGAATCCCTCCGATGTTTGGCGATAGCAGAAGATCCCAGTTTCCGTCCAGGTCGGATACACGTCGGTGTCTCGAAGCTGGGTGCTTGATGTGCTTGCATGAGTCAACTGAAAAAGAGGATGGCCAACAAGACGAGGCCTCCTGCCTCCCTCAGCCTGTCCAAGATTTCCGCAGTGTTTCCCGCCATATCGACGATGTAGGTCTGAGAGCGTCGGGGAAGACTATTCAACGAATGAATGCCACTTCGCGTTTGCCACACTTGAGGTCCCCACCGTATCTTCTCTGCCTGCAGGCACAATGTAACAGCTCCACGGCATCGGCATGCAGCATGTGACCTTGTTGCGGCAGCGGAGCTAGCCGTACCTAGACAAATGCAGGACCACATAGCCAGTCACTGCAGGATGCTGCATGCCTCGACAGAGGGAATGCGATGGTTCGCCTGACACAGTTCAGAGCACTTCATCAAGCGACATCGTGTGCGAGTGATCATGACGGACTTCAGACAAATTGCTACCTTGATTTACGGGTAGCACCATGACACAACGTGCATTGAAGACCCAGCATACAACACCATCCAAGCAACAAGGTTGATGGAAATGCCTCCATGGCCATCAGCTGCGGGGCTGGGCGCAGAGGCGAAGCGATGACGGTGCTGGTCAACCCGAGCAGAGATAAGTACGACGAGCCAGACTGGCCCTGTACTGCGTGCCTGTACTTCTTTGATGTCGGTAAAGATAGCGACATGCCACGCGAACACAGGAGATGCATAGTTAGAAACCATAGCGTTCTGTTTCAGCATCTTAGCCCCTGCCAATCGTCTGCAAGAACCACAGCCATTGCAGCAATTTGAATAAGCAAACAAACGGCGTGAGCCCCCTGTTTTGCCGGGCCAAGGCGACTCCAACGAAGCTCACCTGGCCTTTGTGGGGGCAGTCCGAACCTCAAACATGCTCCAAAGTCTCCACGATGTCCTGTCAAACTGAAACCTCTACCGCTCTACCCCTGTGCCTAAAACCCGCACACCCCGAACCCAAAATTTCCCAGAGAAGAAATCTCTTCCATAGCCGTGCTGTAAGCACCCGTAGCGTTGGTCGTGTTTTCTCCAAGATTTGAGACTGAGTACATTCACAGCCTGAGCTCCACAACCATCTTCGAAAATCATGGTTTAGTGGAGTGTTTAGTGGTCATCCCAGACCCCGGCCTCAAACAACTTTACGAGCCCCTGATGATATCAAGCCTTACAAGTAAGTAGAGCGAGAGCGCGCTGTCCCTGCCGACAACCCCGCACATACGATGCCATTCGCACTGCACCCATGCGTAAGCGCTCCGTGAGTTTTTGCTGCTTGAACGCAAGATCTGTTGGACCGCTTTTCTGTGGATTCCTGCTGCAAGCAGGTTTCTGGGCACGAGCTGGAAGACCATCAAAGCCATAGGTGACTGGACAGTCACCCCAGTGCCGCCGTTTTTTGAGCTGCGCATCGTGTTCCCACCGCTGTCCTATGCATTTCCTTCCGAAGCCGCAGCCCTGCTCCCGCCACTGCGCTCCATCTAGGGCCGAGGGTGCCTGCTCGTCACAATTGGTGTTTTGGGCCTCATGGGCGTATGGGGTGGTCTTGGACGCCTCAGCAGTACGCGCTTGCTCTCCTGGCACAACTTAGCACCTAGTGACTTAGTGCTTGGCAGAGATGCCCATCCTTTCCAAGCTGAGATTTGAAGCAACTGGCAATTTTGATGATAAATACGACCACATGGTTGCAATTGCTTGCATTTCTTGCAAGCACTAGCTTTGACAAGACAGTCAACTCAAGCGCCGCCACAGGTGAGCAACAAGTTTTTGCAACCCAGCGACAAGACCTACGCTGACACCGATCGCAGCCGCAGCTACAGCTCAGAAGCAGCTGCACTCGAGCAGAATCCACAACCTAAAGTGCACCCCGCGGGCTCACCCTGATCGCAATGGCAAAGTGAAAGTGAAAGTTCAGGAGGGTCATGTCACAACTTTTGACAAAGTCCAGGTGTGGCTCGCTCAACAGGCAGCCGGGCGGCTCACACGCAAGGTCACGAGTGTGCATACTCACCACATGATTGGTACGATGTGGGACAGGCTTGACCCAAACTCTCTCTCATGAGCTGCGGCGACGGTGCTGATCTGCCACACGCCTGGACACAGTGTTCTGTGCTTGCACTGGGTCCCGACCAACAACTATACACACTCAAAGTGAAGCTGCGCAAGCTGCACAATTCACACTGTCGAAATAGAACACAGGAGCTCAGGTGAAGTCGCTTACGCTCAGTGCTCAGCCTTGGCCGCGTGTTTCGTGGTCCACCAGCGTGGATACCTGGGACGAACCCGCTACGAAGCACTCCCACCCAGCAACACAAATCACGGTCCAAGGCCGGAGCTCCATTGTGGGTTCATCATCGGCCTCCACGTCGACGACGACCGGGGCTGCATAAATAGGTCCTTCACGCGATGACGGCGAACGAGGAACGTGCCTACTGCCCGAGGCTGGGGCCGGGTAAGGCGGCCATGCTGACCTGAACGACCAACTCTAAGAAGGGGACACTAGAATCGACCTCCGAGGACATAGCGGTGGAAAGCGGTCAGAAGGATTTCAGATGGCAAGTGCTTGATCAAACCGGCTGCAGCCAGAATTGCGCCGGTGTTGTGCCCCACTTCGTCGGCAGAGGATGGGTTGTTCTCTGGTGTCCTTGAAGTTGCTAAATCTACAATACAAAGATACACGCAAAACGGTGGCCTTGCATACTTGCAGTGTTCCTAATGTATGTTGAGTCCGACTCCAAGCTACGCGACTTTGCGGGTGAGCGCATGCCAACATAACTCGCTCGTTCCACTCACTCCGTCACTCAGCCGCCCACTCACTTTCTCGCTTGCTTACTCGCTCACGCACTCGCCCACTCGCTAGTTCCCTCATGCAAGCGATCACACACTCGCTCACTCCCTCGCCCTCTGCCTTTCGCGCCTGTCATGCTGGTCGCAGGGACTGAAAACGTCGCCTTCGTCAGCAAATACTGCGATGTTCCTCTGTTTTCGTCGTAATAAAGTCTTGTTGCTGATTATGAACGGTATCGTTTTGTCGGCTTGCTCGGTGGATCTCTACAATGCCATTCCCCCAAGCAGCCAGAAGCTTCATGGCTTGTGTGGAAAGAAGCCGGTGTAGCACGGTGGCCAACTTCTGCTTTTGGAAATTGTGTTGGGCGCATCGAAACTGAATTGCTAGTTTGGAAGCTTGGGGCTTGTTGAAGAAGTGCGTGGACATACAGGTGCAGCACGCCCATGTGCCTATTTTATATGTAAGCACACCGGTGAGTGTGTGAGTGTTTGTGTGTGGGGGGGAACTCTGTCACCAAGAGCCAGAGCTTGCATCAGTGGCCCACTCAAGAGTCCACTGCCAACGAAGCTGCTCTTGAGTTGGGAGGATATCCAGACTGATCATCTGGACGTACCTGCAGTCTTTTTCCATCTGTGTGGCCAGGGGCTAAGCCAAGAACCCCAATATCAAGCATTTACTGCCCACGTGGCATAGTCTAAGTATCAAGTCGAAACAGAGGGAGGATTGCATGAGTGTGTATCTGGACGGTTGTTCGATCAACGTGCCGTCTACGGTAGGGTTGCCTACTGCATTGAACCCTGATCGGTTCGAACCCTGTGCGGTTCCTCTTGATTGAGCCCTGATCGGCTACCAGTAACTGAACCCTGATCGGTTCACCGAGGGATATCTGCGTAGAATAAACGCAAAAACGATCCTGATCGATTAACTGCCAGGCTGGAATCAACTCGTTTTGCTCTGAAGCAGAGCCTCGCCAATGTTCAGCCTTGAGTCCGTCGGGCACCCTCAGCTGCAGGAGCTAGCAAAGCTTGAACATCCTCCCACCGATCTCTTCTGTTGCGAAGCCTTGTCTGATTTGTACAGAAAAAGTTGGGACGATAGCTCGAACAAGTAGCAAGAAGAAAAAAAGCTGCTCTTCGAATAGAAACGATGATGTGGCAGTGTCGGGAGGGCTGCGGCTTTGCCTGCGAACTCCCACACTGACCACGTCATCATCCAAAGATGCCATGGCAGTGTTGGGGGGGCTGCGGTTCTGCTTGCGAACTCCCACACTGCCTGCGAACTCCCACACTGACCGTGTCATCACTCAGAGATGAACTGGCAGTGTCGGGGGGGCTGCGGCCTTGCCTGTGAACTCCCACACTGACCAGTTCATCGTGCAAAAACTTTAAGCAACCCAAAGGTTTTCCTCAATCAAATCTGTAATCTTGGCACAGATCATTGCTTGTCAAGCAGCAACCTGTGCGCTTGACTGTGTGACAACTATTCCACTGTACATGCTTGCAGTTCTTTCCAGCATTTCTTGACCTGATGTCTGCTCAGCAGGCCCTCAGCAGGCACCTGGTCTGCCAGATCATCAGGCTATCGTTTGCGCAAAGCGCTGATTTAGAAATAGGATTGGCTCCCAGCACTCATCCTAGCCAAATTTTTAGCCTGAGACTGCTTTTCCTTGATACATTTTTCCCAAATCAAGTTTGGTGCGCTTGACAGTGTGACAACATTTCCACTGTACATGCTTGCAGTTCTTTCCAGCATTTCTTGACCTGCTGTCTGCTCAGCAGGCACCTGGTCTGTCAGGTCATCAATCATCAAGCTATCGTTCGCGCAAAGCGCTGATTTTTTCCCTCTCGCATGGCTAAGGATCAATGCCCACAAGCGAGGCTTGCTTTGAGAGATATGTTCGAAAGGCGACTGTGCAAAACAAGGTTATTCAGTCACTGACCGAAGCCTAGCCCCTACGCTTTGCGCTGATTCAGAAATAGGCTTGGCCTCCCAGCAGTCATCCAAGCCACAATTTCAGCCTGAGGCAGCTTTACCCTGATAAAGTTTTCCCAAATCCAGTATGTGATCTTGGCACAGAGTACTGCTCATCAACACAGCTACCTGTGCACTTGACTGTGTGACAACTTTTTCCATTGTACATGCTTGCAGTTCTTTCCAGCATTTCTTGACCGGCTGTCTGCTCAGCAGGCACCTGGTCTGCCAGATCATCAGGCTATCATTTGCGCGGAGCGCTGACTCAGAAGTAGGCTTGGCCTCCCAGCAATCGTCCAAGCCAAAATTCCAGCCTGAGACAGCTTTACCTTGATAAAGGTTTTTCTACATCAAGTTTGTAATCTGGGCACAGAGCATTCTGCATTCTTGTTAAACAGCAACCTGTGCGCTTGACTGTGTGACAACTTTTCCACTGCACATGCTTGCAGTTCTTTCCAGCATTTCTTGACCTGATGTCTGCTCAGCAGGCACGTCGTCTGCCAAATCATCAGGCTATCGTTTGCGCAAGGCTGAGATTCAGAAGTAGGCTTGCCTCCCAGCAGTCACCCAAGCCAAAATTCCAGCCTGAGACAGCTTTACCTTGATAAAGGTCTTCCCAAATCAAGTTTGCAATCTTGGCACAAACATTGCTTGTCAAACAGCAACCTGTGCGCTTGACTGTGTGACAACTTTCCACTGTACATACTTGCAGTTCTTTCCAGCATTTCTTGACCTGCTGTCTGCTCAGCAGGCACCTGGTCTGCCAGATCATCAGGCTAT